TTATGCCCACATTCCAGCTGAGAGGGTCTTCTCTACAGCTGGCCTGATTGTGAATCGCCTCCGCACCCGCCTCTCCCCTGAGTAGACATGCTCATATTCTTAAACAAGAATGAGTATTGAATAGCTGCATTCTGTGCATAGGCCCTGTTACAGGTTGATCTCTGTTGTGATAGGGTTACGTTACCCTAACCCTGTTACAGGTTGATCTCTGTTGTGATAGGGTTACGTTACCCTAACCCGTTATGTTGTTCGTGTTTGATCCCTCTTTCATTTAAAAACCAAGTTGTTTTAAGCATGAAAGCTGTAGGCCTATAGCTGTCAACTGTTCAAACTGTGATCACCAGTTCAATACATTTGACAAATTCGACTTGGTTTCTAAACTTATTTGAACATGTATTTTTTTTATTTAAATTTATTTTTTGTAAATACCAGCTTTCAACAGAAACAAAAAGGGAAGCACATTTATTTTTATTTTATAGGATATAAACATTTCGGTTAACCGTTTTTTTGGGGGTCGAATATTCGAATATACATTTGCTTTCAAATTCCCATCCTTAGTTCTAAACATACAGTTTAAGAAAATCACAAAATCTTCACTGATTCTTGCTCAGGTGTTTGTGGTGTTTTCTGAAAAGCTTTACCAAATAGATTGAAGCTTCAGTCAATGTTGACATTTGATTTTTAAATCAATATTGGAAGTGATTAGCTTCCCTTTTTGTTTCTGTTTAAAGCTGGTATGTCTGGAGATATAGATAAGGCTTCACTATAAGGTTAGTTTTGAGATATTTATAGGATTGTTTCAGACTTCTCTGTATTCTAAACATTTCCAATAACCCCAGATCGTTGTAAAGTCAACATAAAGATAGATGGTGTCATTTCCAAGAATCACAACATGTTTTTATCTCACAAAATATTACTCCATATCTCTTTGGGTTTAGTCTTTCAAAACAACATGTCTGCCATTTAAAAACAGCTTTCACACACAGCTATTCATTTAAGAAAGTTTATCAAAACAAAAAGGGCTAACTCATTCAACCCGTTGAAAGTCTTCATTTAAAATTTTGGACCTTTTTATGGTGACAGCACCTGAGATTCAATATGGGGAAAATACCCAATTCCTTCTCTCTTGATCCCATTTCCCTCACCTCAAAGTATCCGAGTATTGATGGGAAACAAATACAGCTGTACATTGGCAGTCATTGGGATCATTTTAAGGTAAAGTAACATTAGGCAAACGATGAAAACTGAGTATTAGGGCCGTCCCGAATACCATTTTTCGGGCTCCGGATATTCGGTAGTAATCAGCAGCTTACCGCTTCAACACGTGTATTTCAGTTTATTCACAGCATTCATTTTGTTATTCTACAGTATTGTTGTTTTATAGTTATTTGATAATGTATATAACCCAATTTGTGTTCTTTGAAATTGAAAAGGATATTGCATTGTGTTTGTTACTTTCGTTGCAGTTGTATATGTCTTAAGTTGTTGTTGCTATGGAAACAACGTGATGGAGAATAACGGAGAAATGTCATAGGCCTATCGACATATAAAGACGGAGAAAGTAAACAATAACGTTTAAGGTTACGTGTTAGCACCCCCCGAAGAGGCACAAGCTCTTACGTTGATATTGGAGATTTCAATAAATTCAATTTGGCAGCCGCAGGGCAGCAAGGCTACCAAAAAAAACGAATATCCGAATAACGAAATTGAAACCCGAATAGTACTCCAACGAACGAATATTCGGGTACAGCCCTACTGAGTATACAGTCATCCTTAAAGCAGAAATATGGATCGTCACATCGTGGCCAAACCAAATAATTAATCAGTATTTGGCACCAATACTAATTCTGAGGATCAATAGACAATTGATTTCGCACATGGCATTACCAGCTTTCAAATCATTGGGATTGTCGAATATAAGAAAAATAGCGAACGTGCTAATTATAATGTCAAAGCATGAAAAGGTGACGTCTCCAAATGTCTGGTTTTGTCCAATCATCAGTGCACAGTCCAAATAAAAATCTGCCTAATCATTTTTGTTATTGTCAGTTTTGTTTTAAGCTCCATAATGAAGAATCTGAAGTAAAATATGTGGCTGATTCATGTTTCAGTCATTGACCGAAAACAAAACTGAAGACTAGGTCAAGGATAAGAATAGCTGAATGTAATGGAAACAAACTGAGGTTTAGTAAGAAAGACAATCTAATAACTTCAACACTTACAGATATTAAAATATGTTGCCTTTCGGTTAGAAATCCTGTGTTTCCAACTCCTGAAATGTGATAATTCACTCCTTAACTTTGGCTGATCCCTGTCAATTATATCTCTTTATCTATGGAGAACAAGTCATAGAAAGGAACATTTTAACATCTAAACTAATTGTACTCCATCTGGCCATGAAGATAGTGAGATATGATAGAAACATCCAGAACAGCAGAGGGGTGGATTTAAAAAGCTCAACCACAGACTGCTTACACAATTCACTTTCCCATAAGACTCTTTAAAAAAAGCATGTATAAAAGAAGTACACTTATTTTTACGACCGTAAGAGTGGTTTGCGGAGGTCTGCATGTTTAAAAGACGGTTATTTACAGTATAAAAATGTTGTTTTTCTGTGAGTGTTTTCAAAGATAATTGAAGGGAATATGTGTTACAAAAAAGCTTGAATACTCTGAATGCTTGAGGACTAGTTCCTCTACTTTCAAATCCTTCTGTTATGTCCCTATTGATTGTATCTTAGCTATTTAACCAATGTTTAGAGGTAGTTATAAGTCTTAAGGGTCTATGGTTTAGCCGGTGTTTTGTAGGTTGGGAATTTAACTTGCAAAATCTAGGCCAGTAAGTTAGTGAACACATTTTATGAATACTATCTGCTACAGAAACTACATAGATAATTAATTAACGGGGTAGTTTTAAATGCAATTAAAGCAAAGAATGCTGTTTTCTGCTTCACAATATGGAGATATGTTTGTTTTTTTACTGAATAAAAACTAAAACACTGGTCTCTTCTGATAGTTGTGACTTTAGAGTATTATTTATTCTGTATAGTTTATCATATTTAGATAATCCTCTGAATATAAGTATTTTTTAACTGCGAATAAGTACATATTTTAATTTGTATTCTATTGTCAGGAATTTTGTTATTCTTGTAGATAGACTGTCAACATGCTGCTGTGACAAGATATTTTCCCAACTTGGGATAAATAAAAGTATCAATCTTTATGTTTCCATTCTCCTCTGCCCTTCTTGAACAAACCTCCTTTGTTTGTGACTTCAAACTTGCACAATGTCAGCAACTCGGCCACAACAGGGGAGTAAAAACAGGGGAAATTACATGGTGCATTTCTAACAAAGCTAGCAACAGTAACCCTAGGTTTCATCATCTGTCCGGGACACAGGGAGCCTAATTATTGAATCAAACACAAAGCTACATAAGAGGATATTGATGTGTTAGTGGCAGATTTACAGTCGGATATACAGTCAGGGTATTACAGTTACTGAGAATAAAGCTAGCCGTTAGCTTCCCTGTGCTAATTAACAACTGCGATGTTGTCAGGCCTCTAAAACAAACTGTAACCCACAGAAAATTGCATACATTTATAGCCATGAATCCAGCAGTGATGAACGACATTACTTGTTGGTTATTTATCATGTATAGAATTGTGTTACAAGTAACGAAACCCGGCTACAGTTAGCATGCTAACACCACGCTAGCTAAGCTAAACGCTAACTGGAGTAACAGCATATTTTTCGTTTTTTTTTTAATAAACCCGTAATTATAACAAAGGGGAAACCTGCCACATCAATAATTAAATAACCGGTTACCACTCCGTGTGTCTTTTATAGCGGTATTTTCCTTTTTTGAGCTAAATGTTTACGCGGCCTTCGACTCGAAACACAAGCCGCGGGGCTCGAGTTCCGGGAGAGCCGAGAGGCCGCAGCTCATCCTCGGACAAACAATACGAGCCAACCCGGCTCTTGGTCGGATTCACCTGCGGGATGATGAGCCACTCACCGTGTTTTTCTTCTCGGCTCTGAGACGCACAGTAGCGGTTTATGTCTCAGGATCTCCTAGGTCCAAATGATGGGTGAATAGCCGTGTGTTTCGCCGATTCAGAGGGTTTTAATCAAGGCGTTCCCATATCTTCAGAACCGGTATAAAAAAAAAAGGTCAGAGTGACGGAGAGCCGATAAACACAGGAGACCGAAATGGAGAGCCGAGCCGACTGCTGCTGCCGCGTTCAGGAGCTGCTCCTAAGCTCGGAAATACAACACACCCAAAACGTTAATTATCAGAGTCGGTTTTTTCCAAGTAGGTTTACACATACGAGCAATTTGCTTTGGTGTAAAAAATGGTGCATACAAAGGCCATACTTGTATTTCCTGTTTATTTAAATAATATTATTACATTCCTTGCATGGTTAAAACCTACATAGTATTAAACCTGATTCTGAAATTAAGTTTGAATTTTATTTAAAAAATGTTAAATACAAGGTTTACTCTCTTAGTTACTGTGTAGGAATGGGGGAAGGTAACAACAGTTAGAGTATGAAACACATTTAGGCTAAATGTTCAGTCCTAAAAACAGAGTAGTATAATGTAAGTGTAAAAAATGAAATCACTTAATCACGCTTCATCTTGTTTATTCTTGGGTTTACGACAGTCCCTGAAGGCAGCATGTTGAGGCGACGCAGCAGACGTAAGGGGGCGCTGCGTTTCAAAACTGATAATAATTACAAAAAACAATAACTGTTGATTAAGTTTTTAAATATATTCTGAATTAATATCCTTGTCTCGGCTAAACTTTTAAATTTAATTTAAAATATATATTTTTTTTATGCTGTGTGTGGTATTATAGCTATATTTATTTATGTAACAATTGCTGTATTGCAAAATATGAGTTTCAGAGGCGACTAATAAATATGTACCTCATTGCTCATCACCAGTGTTTGCTCACTTGAGGACAAACTGAGGACACACAAAGAAAACTTGACTCTGAATTAGAAGAAAAAAACATGTTTTTATTCACTTGTGTCGTTAGAAAACATCATGTTAACTCAGTCATTCAGGTCACAGCTGTACAGTTCACAGAGCAGTCGGCCAGGTGAGCACACACACATTTAAACACACTAATACTGCTGGTGTGTGTGTGTGAAGCACAGAGGAAGACAGAAGCTCACCTGGTTATTTTACTTATTGCAGGTAATGATTTAGTGTTTTACTATGGTGGACATCATGTTAGAAATGTCTTTATTCTCTTCACTGATATGAATGTTGACATTCAGACAATACAAGTATTTTAAAACCAAACAAACGTACATTCTTCAAACTGATAAAACACGACGCGGTTGATATTGTGACGTTGTAGTGTCTTTTTATCTAAAGTGCTGACGACTAAAAAGTCCCTTACAGGCCACCGTATGATTCATAACAATCTTCAGTTTGTGTTTTCATGTGATTTGTCGACATTAAACCTTAAATATTAACATTTGACTAAGAAAAATAAAAATCCTTTTCATATCTTTTAGCTCTTCTCTGTAATTGACATTCATTCATTCATTCATGCGAGGGTGAAAGGAAGACCTCGATTAGTTGTTGATGCAGAAAAGCAGCTTTCCTACCGAGAGACGACAGTCATTTCAAAATGAAGACTTTTACGTTCAGACCTTTTCAAAAAGCACAGTGTTAGTTTCATTTTCCCTTCTTTGTTCATCGGCAAAGGCATAGAGTTTCTTTAAGATGCTCTCCTGTGATTGGTCCAACTCACTGCCTCTACTTAACATGCATCCTTTCTGGTAGATTATGTTTTTGAGAAAAGTCAAAACTCTGAGAATTTGATGTTTTTGAGAAATCTTATAATGTCCTGCTGCCATCTGGTGGTCTTTATGACACCATGGTATATATTGTAAAAGTAATGTCATGTTACATGTTGAAGAAAATATATAAAAAATGAAACTGTGTTCGATTTCTGTATGACTGAAGCAGATATCGGATGTGGAAAGATCTGTCTTCTTTGTGAGTACTTTCACATTTCATTGATTTTTCCATTTTTTTCTGAACTATATTTGTTTATTTTAGGTTTTTCTTACACCCAAACATTTATTTTTGTTCTTTACAAAACATAATAGAGAATATTATTATTAATATTAACAAAATATGATCATATTGTGTAACTTATAGGACTATCTATTAATGAATTTAGTGTTTTTTTCATCAGTTTCAAAAGAGTGTTTCTATTTAGACTCAAAAACGAAAGTCTGCCAAAGAGGGTTTTTGGATATCTTAAAATTGCAAAAACATTCAAAGAAAAATGTGGACGATTAAATCAGACATGAAGGCATCTTATTGTCAATATGAAGTTCATAAAGTCTGAATTATTTAAACTCATAAATCAGTTTTTTCTTAAAATTATCCAACTTTTATTTCAGAATTTTGCGTTTTTTCCCAAATATTTGACATCCTCTCCGTCAGCTCGAGGTCAGTTTCATTCAGTTTCCACTCTGTGTGTTTCCATAACGCCACACACTGAAGATAACGTGTTAAAGTTCCTCCTTCAGGTTTAAAAAGGTCTCATTCCTTAAAACCAGATCTTCTTAGCTATAAAAACATGAAATGATTTTTGCTCAGTTAGATTATGGACAGTTACTGATTGATAATAAGACGATCAATAACAGTGATGTGTGATTACGTGACATGCATCGTGTGGAAGAAGTGAGATATAAAGATTGTCGAACTTTAAACGGTCATAACGTCTGTCTTTCTTTTCCATCTTACCCTTCAGATTCTCAGGCAACAAGAGTGCTGTTTGTCCGGAGGGGACATTGAACGCAGCACGGGACAGTGAACGCAGCACGGGACAGTGAACGCAGCACGGGGACAGTGAACGCAGCACGGTGCATTTGTGATAACAAAAACCTCCATCTTTGGGGGGGTTTTTTTCGGGTGAATCGTCTCACAGGAAGTTGGTTTTGAGCGTGATGCTGGGGGAGGACTTGGCGGCGGGGTTAGCGCTGCTAGCTTTAGCGTTCAGACTCTCCTGGTTTCCTTTCACAGCCGCTTCCAGACGAGACTTCAGGTGAGGAGACGACGCGATGAGAGACCTGAGGGAGAGGACAACAAATCACATCAATCCTGAAATGTCCTTTTTTAAAGGTCCCCTATTATACTGTTTCTCATCAATATATCACAGGTCTCAGATATATCCAGAGCCTGTCTCTGATTGGCTGAAACACCAAACAGATCATTGCAGCATTACCCATAATCCCCTCTGTTTCAGCCCTGTTTCCAAAGTGCTGATTCTCTGTCTGTTACTTTAGATGAAAATAAGGAGCCCCTCCCCACGCCCCTCTGAGAGACATTTGGTTACAAAGAACTCAATGGTGCTCTAGGAGGAGATCCAGGTGATAAGGTGGGGGGGGGGGGGTTACCTTGGTTGCTGATTGGCTAATGGTTACACAAGACAACACATCGTGATGACATCATCAAGTGGCCAAAATCTGATCAGCTCATTTTCAGACAGGTTTTTATAGAAATGGATCAAAAAGAGAGAAAATCTTTGATCCTGAAACTTTCAGAGTCTCTGAGGGGACACATGTTGATGAAGAAGAGACATGAAGAAGAGGGGACACATGTTGATGAAGAAGAGACATGAAGAAGAGGGGACACATGTTGATGAAGAAGAGACATGAAGAAGAGGGGACACATGTTGATGAAGAAGAGACATGAAGAAGAGGGGACACATGTTGATGTAGAAGAGACATGAAGAAGAGGGGACACATGTTGATGAAGAAGAGACATGAAGAAGAGGGGACACATGGTGATGAAGAAGAGACATGAAGAAGAGGGGACACATGTTGATGTAGAAGAGACATGAAGAAGAGGGGACACATGTTGATGTAGAAGAGACATGAAGAAGAGGGGACACATGTTGATGAAGAAGAGACATGAAGAAGAGGGGACACATGTTGATGAAGAAGAGACATGAAGAAGAGGGGACACATGTTGATGAAGAAGAGACATGAAGAAGAGGGGACACCATGTTGATGAAGAAGAGACATGAAGAAGAGGGGACACATGTTGATGAAGAAGAGACATGAAGAAGAGGGGACACATGTTGATGAAGAAGAGACATGAAGAAGAGGGGACACATGGTGATGAAGAAGAGACATGAAGAAGAGGGGACACATGTTGATGAAGAAGAGACATGAAGAAGAGGGGACACATGTTGATGTAGAAGAGACATGAAGAAGAGGGGACACATGGTGATGAAGAAGAGACATGAGGAAGAGGGGACACATGTTGATGAAGAAGAGACATGAAGAAGAGGGGACACATGTTGATGTAGAAGAGACATGAAGAAGAGGGGACACATGTTGATGTAGAAGAGACATGAAGAAGAGGGGACACATGTTGATGAAGAAGAGACATGAAGAAGAGGGGACACATGTTGATGTAGAAGAGACATGAAGAAGAGGGGACACATGTTGATGTAGAAGAGACATGAAGAAGAGGGGACACATGTTGATGTAGAAGAGACATGAAGAAGAGGGGACACATGTTGATGAAGAAGAGACATGAAGAAGAGGGGACACATGGTGATGAAGAAGAGACATGAAGAAGAGGGGACACATGTTGATGAAGAAGAGACATGAAGAAGAGGGGACACATGTTGATGTAGAAGAGACATGAAGAAGAGGGGACACATGGTGATGAAGAAGAGACATGAAGAAGAGGGGACACATGTTGATGAAGAAGAGACATGAAGAAGAGGGGACACATGTTGATGAAGAAGAGACATGAAGAAGAGGGGACCATGTTGATGAAGAGGGGACACATGTTGATTGAAGGGACACATGTGTGATGAAGAAGAGACATGAAGAAGAGGGGACACATGTTTGATGAAGAAGAGACATGAAGAAGAGGGGACACATGTTGATGAAGAAGAGACATGAAGAAGAGGGGACACATGTTGATGAAGAAGAGACATGAAGAAGAGGGGGACACATGTTTGATGAAGAAGAGACATAAGAAGAGGGGACACATGTTGATGTAGAAGAGACATGGAGAAGAGGGGACACATGTTGATGAAGAAGAGACATGAAGAAGAGGGGGCCACATGTTGATGAAGAAGAGACATGAAGAAGAGGGGACACATGTTGATGAAGAAGAGACATGAAGAAGAGGGGACACATGTTGATGAAGAAGAGACATGAAGAAGAGGGGGACACATGTTGATGAAGAAGAGACATGAAGAAGAGGGGACACATGTTGATGTAGAAGAGACATGAAGAAGAGGGGACACATGTTGATGAAGAAGAGACATGAAGAAGAGGGGACACATGTTGATGTAGAAGGACATGAAGAGAGGGACCATGTTGATGAAGAAGAGACATGAAGAAGAGACATGAAGAAGAGGGGACACAAAGTTGATGAAGAAGAGACATGAAGAAAGAGGGGACACATGTTGATGTAGAAGAGACATGAAGAAGAGGGGACACATGTTGATGAAGAAGAGACATGAAGAAGAGGGGACACATGTTGATGAAGAAGAGACATGAAGAAGAGGGGACACATGTTGATGAAGAAGAGACATGAAGAAGAGGGGACACATGTTGATGAAGAAGAGACATGAAGAAGGGGGGGACACATGTTGATGAAGAAGAGACATGAAGAAGAGGGGACACATGTTGATGTAGAAGAGACATGAAGAAGAGGGGACACATGTTGATGAAGAAGAGACATGAAGAAGAGGAGACACATGTTGATGTAGAAGAGACATGAAGAAGAGGGGACACATGTTGATGAAGAGAGACATGAAGAAGAGGAGACACATGTTGATGTAGAAGAGACATGAAGAAGAGGGGACACATGTTGATGAAGAAGAGACATGAAGAAGAGGGGACACATGTTGATGAAGAAGAGACATGAAGAAGAGGAGACACATGTTGATGAAGAAGAGACATGAGGAAGAGGGGACACATGTTGATGAAGAAGAGGGGACACATGTTGATGAAGAAGAGACATGAAGAAGAGGGGACACATGTTGATGAAGAAGAGACATGAAGAAGAGGGGACACATGTTGATGAAAGAAGAGACATGAAGAAGAGGGGGACACATGTTGATGAAGAAGAGACATGAAGAAGAGGGGACACATGGTGATGAAGAAGAGACATGAAGAAGAGGGGACACATGTTGATGAAGAAGAGACATGAAGAAGAGGGGACACATGTTGATGAAGAAGAGACATGAAGAAGAGGGGACACATGTTGATGAAGAAGAGACATGAAGAAGAGGGGACACATGTTGATGAAGAAGAGACATGAAGAAGAGGGGACACATGTTGATGAAGAAGAGACATGAAGAAGAGGGACACATGTTGATGAAGAAGAGACATGAAGAAGAGGGGACACATGTTGATGTAGAAGAGACATGAAGAAGAGGGGACACATGGTGATGAAGAAGAGACATGAGGAAGAGGGGACACATGTTGATGAAGAAGAGACATGAAGAAGAGGGGACACATGTTGATGTAGAAGAGACATGAAGAAGAGGGGACACATGTTGATGTAGAAGAGACATGAAGAAGAGGGGACACATATTGATGAAGAAGAGACATGAAGAAGAGGGGACACATGTTGATGAAGAAGAGACATGAAGAAGAGGGGACACATGTTGATGAAGAAGAGACATGAAGAAGAGGGGACACATGTTGATGTAGAAGAGACATGAAGAAGAGGGGACACATGGTGATGAAGAAGAGACATGAGGAAGAGGGGACACATGTTGATGTAGAAGAGACATGAAGAAGAGGGGACACATGTTGATGTAGAAGAGACATGAGGAAGAGGGGACACATGTTGATGAAGAAGAGACATGAAGAAGAGGGACACATGTTGATGAAGAAGAGACATGAAGAAGAGGGGACACATGTTGATGTAGAAGAGACATGAAGAAGAGGGGACACATGGTGATGAAGAAGAGACATGAAGAAGAGGGGACACATGTTGATGAAGAAGAGACATGAAGAAGAGGGGACACATGTTGATGTAGAAGAGACATGAAGAAGAGGGGACACATGGTGATGAAGAAGAGACATGAAGAAGAGGGGACACGTGTTGATGAAGAAGAGACATGAAGAAGAGGGGACACATGTTGATGAAGAAGAGACATGAAGAAGAGGGGACACATGTTGATGAAGAGGGGACACATGTTGATGAAGAAGAGACATGAAGAAGAGGGGACACATGTTGATGAAGAAGAGACATGAAGAAGAGGGGACACATGTTGATGAAGAAGAGACATGAAGAAGAGGGGACACATGTTGATGGAGAAGAGACATGAAGAAGAGGGGACACATGTTGATGAAGAAGAGACATGAAGAAGAGGGGACACATGTTGATGAAGAAGAGACATGAAGAAGAGGGGACACATGTTGATGTAGAAGAGACATGGAGAAGAGGGACACATGTTGATGAAGAAGAGACATGAAGAAGAGGGGACACATGTTGATGAAGAAGAGACATGAAGAAGAGGGGACACATGTTGATGAAGAAGAGACATGAAGAAGAAGAGACATGAAGAAGAGGGGACACATGTTGATGAAGAAGAGACATGAAGAAGAGGGGACACATGTTGATGAAGAAGAGACATGAAGAAGAGGGGACACATGTTGATGAAGAAGAGACATGAAGAAGAGGGGACACATGTTGATGTAGAAGAGACATGAAGAAGAGGGGACACATGTTGATGAAGAAGAGACATGAAGAAGAGGGGACACATGTTGATGTAGAAGAGACATGAAGAAGAGGGGACACATGTTGATGTAGAAGAGACATGAAGAAGAGGGGACACATGTTGATGTAGAAGAGACATGAAGAAGACGGGACACATGTTGATGAAGAAGAGACATGAAGAAGAGGGGACACATGTTGATGAAGAAGAGACATGAAGAAGAGGGGACACATGTTGATGAAGAAGAGACATGAAGAAGAGGGGACACATGTTGATGAAGAAGAGACATGAAGAAGAGGGGACACATGTTGATGTAGAAGAGACATGAAGAAGAGGGGACACATGTTGATGAAGAAGAGACATGAAGAAGAGGGGACACATGTTGATGTAGAAGAGACATGAAGAAGAGGGGACACATGTTGATGAAGAAGAGACATGAAGAAGAGACATGAAGAAGAGGGGACACATGTTGATGAAGAAGAGACATGAAGAAGAGGGGACACATGTTGATGTAGAAGAGACATGAAGAAGAGGGGACACATGTTGATGAAGAAGAGACATGAAGAAGAGGGGACACATGTTGATGTAGAAGAGACATGAAGAAGAGGGGACACATGTTGATGAAGAGAGACATGAAGAAGAGACATGAAAAGAGGGGACACATGTTGATGAAGAAGAGACATGAAGAAGAGGGGACACATGTTGATGTAGAAGAGACATGAAGAAGAGGGGACACAGTTGATGAAGAAGAGACATGAAGAAGAGGGGGGGACAACAATGTTGATGTAGAAGAGACAGAAGAAGAGGGGACACATGTTGATGTAGAAGAGACATGAAGAAGAGGGGACACATGTTGATGAAGAAGAGACAGTGAAGAAGAACAGAAGAGAGGGTACACATGTTGAATGAAGAAGAGACTGAAGAAGAGGGACACATGTTGATGAAGAAGAGACATGAAGAAGAGGGGGACACATGTTGATGAAGAAAGACATGAAGAAGAGGGGACACATGTTGATGAAGAAGAGACATGAAGAAGAGGGGACACCTGTTTGATGAAGAAGAGGACATGAAGAAGAGGGGACACATGTGATGTAGAAGAGACATGAAGAAGAAGGGGACACATGTTGATGAAGAGAGACATGAAGAAGAGGGGACACATGTTTGATGTAGAAGAGACATGAAGAAGAGGGGACCACATGTTGATGAAGAAGAGACATGAAGAAAGAGGAGACACATGTTGATGTAGAAGAGACATGAAAGAAGAGGGGACACATGTTGATGAAGAAGAAACATGAAGAAGAGGAGACACCTGTTGATGTAGAAGAGACATGAAGAAGAGGGGACACATGTTGATGAAGAAGAGACATGAAGAAGAGGGGACACATGTTGATGAAGAAGAGACATGAAGAAGAGGAGACACATGTTGATGAAGAAGAGACATGAGGAAGAGGGGACACATGTTGATGAAGAAGAGGGGACACATGTTGATGAAGACAGAGACATGAAGAAGAGGGGACCACATGTTGATGAAGAAGAGACATGAAGAAGAGGGGACACATGTTGATGAAGAAGAGGGGACACATGTTGATTAAGAGGAGACATGAAGAAGAGGGGACACATGTTGATGAAGAAGAGGGGACACATGTTGATGTAGAAGAGACATGAAGAAGAGGGGACACATGTTGATGAAGAAGAGACATGAAGAAGAGGGGACACATGTTGATGTAGAAGAGACATGAAGAAGAGGGGACACATGTGATGTAGAAGAGACATGAAGAAGAGGGGGACACATGTTGATGAAGAAGAGACATGAAGAAGAGGGGACACATGTTGATGTAGAAGAGACATGAAGAAGAGGGGACACATGTTGATGTAGAAGAGACATGAAGAAGAGGGGACACATGTTGATGTAGAAGAGACATGAAGAAGAGGGGACACATGTTGATGTAGAAGAGACATGAAGAAGAGGGGACACATGTTGATGTAGAAGAGACATGAAGAAGAGGGGACACATGTTGATGTAGAAGAGACATGAAGAAGAGGGGACACATGTTGATGAAGAAGAGGGGACACATGTTGATGTAGAAGAGACATGAAGAAGAGGGACACATGTGATGTAGAAGAGACATGAAGAAGAGGGACACATGTTTGATGTAGAAGAGACATGAAGAAGAGGGGGACACATGTTGATGAAGAAGAGGGGGACACATGTTGATGTAGAAGAGGACATGAAGAAGAGGGAGACACATGTTGATGTAGAAGAGACATGAAGAGAGAGGGACACATGTTGAGGAAGAAGAGGGGACACATGTTGATGTAGAAGAGACATGAAGAAGAGGGGGACACATGTTGATGAAGAAGAGGGGAACACATGTTGATGTAGAAGAGACATGAAGAAGAGGGGACACATGTTGATGTAGAAGAGGGGACACATGTTGATTTGTAGAAGAGACATGAAGAAGAGGGGACACATGTTGATGAAGAAGAGGGGGACACATGTTGATGTAGAAGAGACATGAAGAAGAGGGGACACATGTTGATGAAGAAGAGACATGAAGAAGAGGGGACACATGTTGATGTAGAAGAGACATGAAGAAGAGGGGACACATGTTGATGTAGAAGAGACATGAAGAAGAGGGGACACATGTTGATGAAGAAGAGACATGAAGAAGAGGGGACACATGTTGATGTAGAAGAGACATGAAGAAGAGGGGACACATGTTGATGTGAAGAAGAGACATGAAGAAGAGGGGACACATGTTGATGAAGAAGAGAATGAAGACAGAGGGGACACATGTTGATGTGAAGAGACATGAAGAAGAGGGGACACATGTTGATGTAGAAGAGACATGAAGAAGAGGGGACACATGTTGATGTAGAAGAGACATGAAGAAGAGGGGACACATGTTGATGTAGAAGAGACATGAAGGGGACACATGTTGATGTAGAAGAGACATGAAGAAGAGGGGACACATGTTGAATGAAGAAGAGGGGACACATGTTGATGTAGAAGAGACATGAAGAAGAGGGGACACATGTTGATGTAGAAGAGACATGAAGAAGAGGGGACACATGTTGATGTAGAAGAGACATGAAGAAGAGGGGACACATGTTGATGAAGAAGAGGGGACACATGTTGATGTGAAGAGACATGAAGAAGAGGGGACACATGTTGATGAGAAGAGGACGCATGTTGATGAAAGAACATGAGAGAGGAGACCATGTTGATGTAGAAGAGACATGAAGAAGAGGGGACACATGTTGATGAAGAAAGGGACACATGTTGATGTAGAAGAGACCATGAAGAAGAGGGGACACATGTTGAGAAGAAGAGGAGGACACATGGTTGATGTAGAAGAGACATGAAGAAGGGGGACACATGTTGATGAAGAAGAGGGACACTGTTGATGTAGAAGACATGAAGAGACGACGGACATGTTGATGAAGAAGAGACATAGAAGAGGGGACACATTGTTGATGAAGAAGAGACATGAAGAAGAGGGGACACATGTTGATGAAGAAGAGACATGAAGAATAGGGGACACATGTTGATGAAGAAAGAGCATGAAGAAGAGGGGACACATGTTGTTAGAGAAGAAGAACATGAAGAAGGGGGACACATGTTGAATGAAGAAGAGACATGAAGAAGAGGGGACACATGTTGATGAAGAAGAGACATGAAGAAGAAGGGGACACATGTTGATGAAGAAGAGACATGAAGAAGAGGGGACACATGTTGATGAAGAAGAGACATGAAGAAGAGGGGACACATGTTGATGAAGAAGAGACATGAAGAAACTGTGTATCCTCTGTTACCTGAACACGGCTGAGTGCAGCGGGCCGAGGCGCATCAGGTCTTTGAGCGCCGCCTCGTGGAGAGAGCGAGACGCGGGGGGGGCCGAAGCCAGAGCGTTCTCATCCAGGAGGAAGGAGATGAGGAGAGGCAGCAGGACGGCCACCAGCTGAGGACCTGAGGACACAAACAAGGAGTCAGGAAACACAGCGGCTATATTCCCTTTAAATACGGCCGCTCTGAAGCTAAACTTCGCTCATTGTTGTGACGCGTGTAAATAATGAAGTCTGTACTGAACTCCACGTTTTAAGGATATTTAATATTGTAAATCAAAACAGTAAACAGAATCATACGGTCAACAAAAGATATCAGCGCTCAGCTCACCCCCGTTGTCATGCTACCTAACCTCCACACACACCAGGTGCCCTAAATACCATGAACCACACCATGTGACCAGAAACAACCCATTGTGTGTGAGGTGCTATGAAGATAACTCTAAACGCAGGCTCCCACAGCGTCTTGGCTGCTCCAGCTGTGTTTAAAAATGTAAATAGAATTTAATTGCATCTTTCTGTCTTCGCTTCTAAAAGTCAACCCAGGCGTTGGTGCTCGTGGAAACTGATGTTGTCCATAGCGGCCATGAAATCATCCTAAAAGCTAAAATTCCTTGTAGTCTGTTTTGCACTCACGCTGCGTCTCCTCTGCCGTCTGGATCAGGGCCTCCATGGCTCGGACTCCCTCCAGGACCCCCTGCAGCTCCTCCTGACTCTGAGGACGACTCCTCTCCACCTTCTGAGGAGCAAACACATCAGACAATCACAATATGAATATGTGTTCAAAACGGGACTTCATCTGACCAAACAGACGCATCGAGACGCATTGGAAACGTTTCTTCTTAAAATGAGAAAAACCCCTTCAAAGGGAATTGGAAAAGACAAGATGTATATGCTGAGAGCTCTGGTATTAATAGCCCTTAAAATGATTACTATAAATTGGCTTAAACCTCACCGCCCTACTTTGGACCAAAGGACTCAAAGACTGAAGGTTGTAAACTGTATGGAAAATGTAACAGAGAAACTACGACTCAAGATGGAAGTGTATTTAGAGAAATGGTCACCTGTTGTAAGATATTTGGCAAAGTGAAAATATTGTAAGCCTCTAATTGGACTCTATATTTTTTTTATTTATATTATATATTTCTTATGCTTATACATAACTATTATGTATCGTACTTTTTGATTATATTATATATATATATTTGTATATTCAGGGTATATGCAGGAATCCTGAAGTCACATGTAAAACCTTTTAAGACCCTTTCCATACATTTTAAGACCTCATCTCCACTTGGAGTTTTAACCGGTTACCTTGGCAACACACTTTCCCTCACATTGACTATATACAGTATTGATTGTCCTTCCTCCTTATCTTCCAACCATTTGGACGCAGACTTGCATTTCCCCATAACGATGTTGTTTAACAACCGGCGTAAACGGACCTTCGCGCTATCAAGCAGTGAGCGTGCGATGTCCTGTTCAGATGACGTCAAACCCAACGGGATGCCATCAATAAACTACACAGAATCACACTCCACACCTACGCAATGATTACATTCAGGCAGACTGTAGAATACCTCTTTGGACAATTCATATACTTATTGAAAACAAGCTACACAATGTAATACCTTGGAAAATGCTGTTTAATACTTTTTAATAGCCTTAATTCTCGCTTAATTAATTTATCAACTTTAAATACGTTTTAAGACCCCGCGGACCCCCTGATATAACAGTATGATACTGTATCTGTACCATGTGAGACTCACTGTCAAGGAACTTGTTCTAATAAATGTTAAAAAAAAAAATATGAACATTTTCTTTTTTTAAGGACTTTAGTTCCGTACCTGCAGGAATCGAACCAGCTGTGGTCCGAGGGCCTGGATGTACGGCACGGCCACGGCGGGCTGAGCCTGAAACACGGAGGTTAGCAGCTGATAGCACCGACTCACAACCTGCAGGAGAAAGAGACCTTTATATTATTATCACTTACTGACTTCTCTCTCCCTCTGTCCTCAAGCCTATATTTCTCCTGGAGCTCAAACTTGTAATGATTTGATTTATAAGTTTCCCTCGTAAGAACTTCGTTATCGGGTGAATGGATTTTCAAGGACATTAATAATCATTCAAAAAGAATACACATTGGGAAGCTTTACTCTCAAGTTGAATTATATGTTGATGTAAACGTTCTGAATCAGAATACCTTCATTCGTCCACAGAGGGGAAATGTACATTGTTACAGTAAGTAAAGAGCCAACGACAGCTTAATGTAATCAAGAAGCATGCATAAAGAATATTTTAAATACATATAAGTAGAAATTACACAATTTACAAAGTACAAAATACACATCCAGTACCACTGCATTTTTGAGATAGCAAAAACGCAGCATAGAACATGACCTGACCGCCTACTCTGAACCACTGCTGTATGTGAACACAGTTTTATGAAACCATACTACCCCCCCCCCCCCCCCCCCCCCTCTGTGGTACTGACCTGAGGGTCTTTGGCCTCCATGCTGCTGCTGAAGCGCTGCACACAGAGTCTCTGCAGCGTCTCGGCGGTGCAGACGTCAGGAGCCGCAGAGAGCAGGAAGACGGTGAGAGCTGTGAGCAGACTGACCTGATCCACTGAGTCTCCTGGAAACACACCATCAGGACACTGAGGACACTGAGGACCCTGAGGACCCTGAGGACCCTGAGGACCCTGAGGACACTGAGGACACTGAGGACCCTGAGGACCCTGAGGACCCTGAGGACCCTGAGGACCCTGAGGACACTGAGGACACTGAGGACCCTGAGGACACTGAGGACCCTGAGGACACTGAGGACCCTGAGGACCCTGAGGACACTGAGGACACTGAGGACCCTGAGGACACTGAGGACACTGAGGACCCTGAGGACTCTGAGGACACTGAGGACCCTGAGGACACTGAGGACACTGAGGACCCTGAGGACACTGAGGACACTGAGGACACTGAGGACACTGAGGACTCTGAGGACACTGAGGACACTGAGGACTCTGAGGACACTGAGGACCCTGAGGACACTGAGGACACTGAGGACACTGAGGACCCTGAGGACCCTGAGGACACTGAGGACACTGAGGACACTGAGGACTCTGAGGACACTGAGGACACTGAGGACTCTGAGGACACTGAGGACACTGAGGACACTGAGGACACTGAGGACACTGAGGACCCTGAGGACACTGAGGACCCTGAGGACCCTGAGGACACTGAGGACCCTGAGGACCCTGAGGACCCTGAGGACACTGAGGACACTGAGGACACTGAGGACTCTGAGGACACTGAGGACACTGAGGACACTGAGGACACTGAGGACTCTGAGGACACTGAGGACACTGAGGACCCTGAGGACCCTGAGGACCCTGAGGACCCTGAGGACACTGAGGACACTGAGGACACTGAGGACACTGAGGACACTGAGGACCCTGAGGACACTGAGGACACTGAGGACACTGAGGACTCTGAGGACACTGAGGACACTGAGGACACTGAGGACACTGAGGACTCTGAGGACACTGAGGACACTGAGGACCCTGAGGACACTGAGGACACTGAGGACACTGAGGACACTGAGGACACTGAGGACACTGAGGACCCTGAGGACACTGAGGACACTGAGGACACTGAGGACTCTGAGGACACTGAGGACACTGAGGACACTGAGGACACTGAGGACTCTGAGGACACTGAGGACACTGAGGACACTGAGGACACTGAGGACTCTGAGGACACTGAGGACATGCACACGTCAAACAACTTCAAACATTCATCTGCTACTCAGTAGTATGTATCTAATACCTAATATATATATATCATTCCAATAACTTGTATATAGACTCGTACTGCACTATTCCACATCATCACTTTATTTTGTATTTTATAACTATTATTCTTTTTGTATTGCTCTTGCTCTTATTGTTATGTTATTATGTTGCATTGTTGGAGAAGCCTGTGACATAAGATTTTCAACTACATAATTACTCTGTAGCTATGTCAGTTTGACAATAAAGAACCTTGAACGTCAGGGATTCCACTAGGATTCTTTCTCGCCGGTCAAATGTCCAGAAAGAATTTATTTTACCGGACAAATTTGAAACTTACCGGTCATTAAACTTTACCTCTCTCTCTCTCTCTCCGTCTCTCTCTCTCTCTCTCTCTCTCTCTCTCTCTCTCTCTCTCTCTCTCTCTCCTCTCTCTCTCTCTCTCTCCTCTCTCTCCATCCTCTCCTCTCCCTCTCTCTCTCTCTCTCTCTCTCCTCTCTCTCCTCTCTATCCCTCTCTCTCCTCTCTCTCTCTCCCTCTCTCTCCCTCTCTCCCTCTCAGAAATTGAAGGCGATGGGAGTGTGATCTGAAGCTTGTCCAACTGGAATGACTCATCATTCGACTAACTATCGGTGACTGGGAGATGCATTATGAGAAATGCCTTTTTGTTTCACTTTCTTTCTGTAGTGAAAGTGTGTGTTGTTCCGGGCGTATTCATATTCTTTTCCCGTGCTCTAAATGAATAACTTATTTAAATAATATTGCAGTTAGAACATTTCTTTCTGTAGTGAAAGTGTGTGTTGTACCGGCGTCCCAGAGTCCCAGCAGAGTGTTCAGAGCGGACCTCAGCAGCAGACTCCAGGCTCCTCGGCTCTTCTCCTGTCGGCTCATTGGAGACGTCACCACGGCCTTCAGAGCCTGAAGAGCCGCCTGCACCACCGAGCCCAGGGCTGACCCCCCCACTGAGCCCGCCGCCGGGGCACCTGGGAGAATAAAAAAGACAATAGTCAACATCGAGAGTCAAATTGCTGATTATTTAGTGTGTGTGTGTGTGTGTGTGTGTGTGAGTGTGAGTGTGTGTGAGTGTGTGGGAGTGTGAGTGTGAGTGTGTGTGTGTGTGTGGTGTGTGTGTGTGTGTGAGTGTGAGTGTGAGTGAGTGTGAGTTGTGAGTGGTGTGTGGTGTGTGTGTGTTGGTGGGTGTGTGTGGCTCTTGGTGAGTGTGAGTGTGTGTGAGTGAGTGTGAGTGTGAGTGTGAGGTGTGTGTGTGTGTGTGTGTGTGTGAGTGTGAGTGTGAGTGTGTGTGTGTGTGTGAGTGTGAGTGTGAGGGTGTGTGAGTGAGTGAGTGTGAGTGTGAGTGTGAGTGTGAGTGTGTAGTGTGAGTGTGTGTGTGTGTGTGTGTGTGAGTGTGTGTGAGTGTGAGTGTGTGTGTGTGCGTGTGTGTGTGTGTGTGTGTGTGTGTGTGTGTGTGTGTGTGTGTGTGTGTGTGTGTGTGTTACCAGGCTGGCTGCTGGGCAGGTGCACCAGCTCTCTGAGGACTCCCAGCAGCAGGTAGAGGACGGAGGGGAGGATGGACACGCTGCCTGCAGGACGACGAACAAGCATCGGGTCAAGAGTCAGTGAGACAACAAAAACACATCAGGGAAACATTTAGTTAGCATGTTAGCATTAGCATTAGCATCTGACCTTCGGGGGAGCAGATGGACGGCAGGTCGGAGAGGACACACAGAGCGGAGGCCACCAGCTGACAGTCGGTGTCAGTCAAACTCCACACTGAACCTCCAGGACCTGAACACACACACACACACACACACACACACACACACACACACACACACACACACACACACACAGACAGACAGAGGAGAGACACACACACACACACACACACACACACACACACACACACACACACACACACACACACACACACACACACACACACACACACACACACACACACACACACACACACACACACACACACACACACACTGAAGTGGTCAGAGTGTTGTTCTGATCACATTACCAGCTGTGTGTCTTTCTTATAACGGGGTATCTTGAAGCTGTCATCAAGGGTTAAATTGGGATTCATTATGTCGGGAGGGGGGGGGGGGGGGCTCTGTGTTGAAAATCTTCTCTCATTGTAACATTAGACTGTAATTCATTTAACACACCTTTTCAGATATCAAAACACTTTCCATGACTTTTAAAAAGTGCTGTTTTCAATTACCTTTAAAAAAAAAAGCTCTTGCTAAAGGAAATTGAAACGACACGTGTCGTCACTGAACACACACTATCCTGCACGATTAAGTTCAAAAAGATAATCAGGATTATGAACTATTTAAGTGACAACATTTTCTATTTTATTTTAATCACATCTAAATAAACAGAGAACTGCCTTCACATCCATGTTTAGCTACATTCCTGCTCCTGTATACATTAGGGCTGTATCATATGACAACAATACATATCACGTAGTTTCAACCTCTTTCAAACTGTTTCTTAGCTCTCCACAATAAACTTACTTAAAGGGGACCTATCATACAAAATGCACTCTAGTCTCATCTTTACAACACCATTTCCCCTATTTTCGCCCCCCCCCCTCCTCTCACCAGTTGGACTGGTCCCGGCCAGTTTGGGGCTGAGCTGTGGAAGTTTCCGGACCAGAACACAGAGGCAGAGCTCCAGCGCTCCGAACACCAGCGAGCGCCCGGGGATCAAACCGCCGGTGTCCCGTCCCTCTCCGAACTCAGGCAGCGTCTCCTTCTCTGATGCACCGTCATCCACTGAGGAACAATAACGTATTTATTTATTTGCTTATTCCACACATGGCAGTTATTTTAAAACAAAACATGTACACTTTACAAAACATGTACACTTATACGGGTTGTTTGTTTCATAGCACATGGTGAAAGGAGCAGGGAGAAGAACATCTTATTTGATCTGCCCCTTCTTATAAAAATGAAATAACCATTAAAAAGTCAAATCAAAGCAATATTCTTTCAGTCACAGTTGCTTACAAATACTGAAACATAAAACCAGAACACAGTCAACTTCATACTGTCTCATTACGCTTTCTTTATACATAAAAGAACAATAAAGTGTTTAAACGACAACATTCAGTTTGTGAGTTTTGTTTGTTTCTCATTTGTTTTGTTATCAGTAGGAAGAAGATCTAGGAAATGGTTCCTCTGGAGTTCAAAGATTTATAGAGTAGAATTAGAGAATCTGTGTAACAGTGTGTATAACAGTGTGTGTAACAGTGTGTGTAGCAGTGTGTGTAGCAGTGTGTATAACAGTGTGTATAACAGTGTGTATAACAGTGTGTGTAGCAGTGTGTGTAGCAGTGTGTGTAACAGTGTGTGTAGCAGTGTGTGTAGCGGTGTGTCTAACAGTGTGTATAGCAGTGTGTATAGCAGTGTGTGTAGCAGTGTGTGTAACAGTGTGTGTAGCAGTGTGTATAGCAGTGTGTGTAGCAGTGTGTGTAGCAGTGTGTATAGCAGTGTGTATAACAGTGTGTATAGCAGTGTGTGTAGCAGTGTGTATAACAGTGTGTGTAACAGTGTGTGTAGCAGTGTGTATAACAGTGTGTATAGCAGTGTGTGTAGCAGTGTGTATAACAGTGTGTGTAACAGTGTGTGTAGCAGTGTGTATAACAGTGTGTATAACAGTGTGTATAGCAGTGTGTGTAGCAGTGTGTATAGCAGTGTGTGTAGCAGTGTGTGTAGCAGTGTGTATAACAGTGTGTGTAACAGTGTGTGTAGCAGTGTGTATAACAGTGTGTATAGCAGTGTGTGTAGCAGTGTGTATAACAGTGTGTATAGCAGTGTGTGTAGCAGTGTGTGTAGCAGTGTGTATAGCAGTGTGTATAACAGTGTGTGTAGCAGTGTGTGTAGCAGTGTGTATAGCAGTGTGTATAACAGTGTGTGTAACAGTGTGTGTAGCAGTGTGTATAACAGTGTGTATAGCAGTGTGTGTAGCAGTGTGTATAACAGTGTGTATAGCAGTGTGTGTAGCAGTGTGTGTAGCAGTGTGTATAGCAGTGTGTATAACAGTGTGTGTAACAGTGTGTGTAACAGTGTGTATAACAGTGTGTATAACAGTGTGTATAGCAGTGTGTGTAGCAGTGTGTGTAACAGTGTGTATAGCAGTGTGTGTAACAGTGTGTGTAGCAGTGTGTATAACAGTGTGTATAACAGTGTGTGTAGCAGTGTGTGTAACAGTGTGTATAACAGTGTGTGTAGCAGTGTGTGTAACAGTGTGTGTAACAGTGTGTGTAGCAGTGTGTGTAACAGTGTGTGTAACAGTGTGTATAACAGTGTGTGTAGCAGTGTGTGTAACAGTGTGTGTAGCAGTGTGTATAACAGTGTGTGTAGCAGTGTGTGTAACAGTGTGTATAGCAGTGTGTGTAACAGTGTGTGTAGCAGTGTGTATAACAGTGTGTATAACAGTGTGTGTAGCAGTGTGTGTAACAGTGTGTATAACAGTGTGTGTAGCAGTGTGTGTAACAGTGTGTGTAGCAGTGTGTGTAACAGTGTGTGTAACAGTGTGTATAGCAGTGTGTGTAGCAGTGTGTGTAACAGTGTGTGTAGCAGTGTGTGTAACAGTGTGTATAACAGTGTGTATAGCAGTGTGTGTAGCAGTGTGTATAACAGTGTGTATAACAGTGTGTATAACAGTGTGTATAGCAGTGTGTGTAGCAGTGTGTATAACAGTGTGTGTAGCAGTGTGTGTAACAGTGTGTATAACAGTGTGTGTAGCAGTGTTGTAGCAGTGGTGTGTAGCAGTGTGTATAACAGTGTGTGTAACAGTGTGTATAACCGTGTGTATAGCAGTGTGTGTAGCATGTGTATAACAGTGTGTGTAGCAGTGTGTGTAACAGTGTGTATAGCAGTGTGTGTAACAGTGTGTATAACAGTGTGTATAGCAGTGTGTGTAGCAGTGTGTATAACAGTGTGTGTAGCAGTGTGTATAACAGTGTGTATAACAGTGTGTGTAACAGTGTGTGTAGCAGTGTGTGTAACAGTGTGTATAAACAGTGTGTTATAGCAGTGTGTGTAGCAGTGTGTGTAGCAGTGTGTATAGCAGTGTGTATAACAGTGTGTGTAACAGTGTGTGTAGCAGTGTGTATAACAGTGTGTATAACAGTGCTGTGTAGCAGTGTGTATCACAGTGTGTATTAGCAGCTGTGTGTTAGCAGTGTGTGTAGCAGTGTGTATAGCAGTGTGTATAACAGTGTGGTAACAGTGTGTGTAACAGTGGTGTGTAACGTGTGTATAACAGTGTGTATAACAGTGTGTATAGCAGTGTGTAGCAGTGTGTGTAAACAGTGTGTATAGCAGTGTGTGTAACGTGGTGTAGCAGTGTGTTATAACAGTGTGTATAACAGTGTGTGTAGCAGTGGTGTTAACAGTGTGTATAACAGTGTGTGTAGCAGTGTGTGTAACAGTGTGTGTAACAGTGTGTGTAGCAGTGTGTAACGGTGTGTAACAGTGTGTTATACACGTGTGTGTAGCAGTGGTGTTTGTAACAGTGTGTGTAGCCGTGTTATAACAGTGTGTATAACAGTGGTGTAACAGTGTTGTAGCAGTGTGTGTAACAGTGTGTATAGACAGTGTAGTGTAGCAGTGTGTGTAACCTAGGTGTGGTAGCAGTGTGTAACAGTGTGTATAACAGTGTGTGTGAGCAGTGTGTGTAACAGTGTGTGTAACAGTGTGTGTAGCAGTGTGTGTAACAGTGTGTGTAGACAGTGTGTGTTAACAGTGTGTGTAACAGTGTGTATAGCAGTGTGTGTAGCAGTGTGTGTAACAGTGTGTGTAGCAGTGTGTGTAACAGTGTGTATAAACAGTGTGTATAGGCAGTGTGTGTAGCAGTGTGTATAACAGTGTGTATACAGTGTGTATAACAGTGTGTATTAGCAGTGTGTGTAGCAGTGTGTGTAACAGTGTGTGTAGCAGTGTGTGTAACAGTGTGTGTAGCAGTGTGTGTAGCAGTGTGTGTAGCAGTGTGTATAACAGTGTGTGTAACAGTGTGTATAACAGTGTGTATAGCAGTGTGTGTAGCAGTGTGTATAACAGTGTGTGTAGCAGTGTGTGTAACAGTGTGTATAGCAGTGTGTGTAACAGTGTGTATAACAGTGTGTATAGCAGTGTGTGTAGCAGTGTGTATAACAGTGTGTGTAGCAGTGTGTATAACAGTGTGTATAACAGTGTGTGTAACAGTGTGTGTAGCAGTGTGTGTAACAGTGTGTATAACAGTGTGTATAGCAGTGTGTGTAGCAGTGTGTGTAGCAGTGTGTATAGCAGTGTGTATAACAGTGTGTGTAACAGTGTGTGTAGCAGTGTGTATAACAGTGTGTATAACAGTGTGTATAACAGTGTGTATAACAGTGTGTATAGCAGTGTGTGTAGCAGTGTGTGTAGCAGTGTGTATAACAGTGTGTATAACAGTGTGTATAACAGTGTGTATAACAGTGTGTGTAGCAGTGTGTGTAGCAGTGTGTGTAACAGTGTGTGTAACAGTGTGTGTAGCAGTGTGTGTAGCAGTGTGTGTAGCAGTGTGTGTAGCAGTGTGTGTAACAGTGTGTGTAACAGTGTGTGTAGCAGTGTGTGTAGCAGTGTGTGTAGCAGTGTGTATAACAGTGTGTCTAACAGTGTGTCTAACAGTGTGTGTAGCAGTGTGTGTAACAGTGTGTGTAGCAGTGTGTGTAACAGTGTGTGTAGCAGTGTGTGTAGCAGTGTGTATAACAGTGTGTATAACAGTGTGTCTAACAGTGTGTCTAACAGTGTGTGTAGCAGTGTGTATAACAGTGTGTGTAGCAGTGTGTGTAGCAGTGTGTGTAGCAGTGTGTATAACAGTGTGTGTAACAGTGTGTATAACAGTGTGTATAACAGTGTGTGTAGCAGTGTGTATAACAGTGTGTGTAGCAGTGTGTATAACAGTGTGTCTAACAGTGTGTGTAGCAGTGTGTATAACAGTGTGTGTAACAGTGTGTGTAGCAGTGTGTGTAGCAGTGTGTGTAACAGTGTGTATAACAGTGTGTGTAACAGTGTGTGTAACAGTGTGTATAGCAGTGTGTGTAACAGTGTGTCTAACAGTGTGTGTAACAGTGTGTGTAACAGTGTGTATAGCAGTGTGTGTAACAGTGTGTATAACAGTGTGTGTAGCAGTGTGTATAACAGTGTTTGTAGCAGTGTGTATAACAGTGTGTCTAACGGTGTGTGTAGCGGTGTGTCTAACAGTGTGTGTAGCAGTGTGTGTAGCAGTGTGTGTAGCAGTGTGTGTAACAGTGTGTGTAGCAGTGTGTGTAGCAGTGTGTGTAGCAGTGTGTGTAGCAGTGTGTGTAGCAGTGTGTGTAGCAGTGTGTATAACAGTGTGTATAACAGTGTGTCTAACAGTGTGTCTAACAGTGTGTGTAGCAGTGTGTATAACAGTGTGTGTAGCAGTGTGTGTAACAGTGTGTGTAGCAGTGTGTGTAGCAGTGTGTATAACAGCGTGTGTAACAGTGTGTATAACAGTGTGTCTAACAGTGTGTGTAGCAGTGTGTATAGCAGTGTGTGTAACAGTGTGTATAACAGTATGTGTAGCAGTGTGTGTAACAGTGTGTGTATCAGTGTGTGTAGCAGTGTGTATAACAGTGTGTGTATCAGTGTGTGTAGCAGTGTGTGTAGCAGTGTGTGTAACAGTGTGTATAACAGTGTGTGTATCAGTGTGTGTAGCAGTGTGTGTAGCGGTGTGTGTAACAGTGTGTGTATCAGTGTGTGTAGCAGTGTGTGTAGCGGTGTGTGTAACAGTGTGTGTATCAGTGTGTGTAGCAGTGTGTGTAGCAGTGTGTGTAGCAGTGTGTGTAGCGGTGTGTGTAACAGGGGTGTGTAACATTGTGTTTGTTACGTCACATTTCGCGTGTCTATTGGATTTGTGTGTGACGTTTGCGGTTATATCCGGTTTGCTTTTACCGGCACACTTTGTTATAGATGGAGGGGCAGTGAGCTGGGGAAGGACACTGTTTGTTGACCGCGTATGCAATCACATACTGGATATGGACCAGAAACAATTGTATGTTTGCTTGTTTCGTTTGCTAATAAAAGGTCAAACGCATATCAGTGGAAAGAATGTTTTCTTGCGCGTCAGACAATGTTTTTCCCTTGTTTAGTCCCTCGCGGCACTTTGTTTGGATTACTACAGCCGCAACAGTATGTATAACAGTGTGTGTAACGGTGTGTGTGATAGTGTGTGTGATAGTGTGTGTGATAGTGTGTGTGATAGTGTGTGTGATAGTGTGTGTGATAGTGTGTTCACCCTCAGCGCTGTGGCGTTTCTCCTTGACGTGCTCGTGAGCGGCCGTTACGATCTGTCGCAGTAGATCCAACACGGCGAGCTGAACGGAGACGGACTCTCTGGTGACCATCAGCCTGTGGAGGACGCTGAGCAGCTCCACACTCAGAGCCTGAACACAGAGAGAGAGAGAGAATACAATGCAACATGTACTTGGAGAAAATAGTGCCAGCCCCATAGAAGCAGCCGAATATGTCAGCGCATGTCCCACCCTCAGAGACAACCAGCACTTCATTTGATATTTGCGGTTTTGTAATAATATATTGTTGTAAATTGTTTCTTTATTGACTATTGAATTGTATTATCCTTGACATTTTATGCCTGTTTTTAAATGCCTTTTTAATAATGTATTTATGCTGTATTTGTTCTTAAATGTCTTTTGCTTTTAATGTGTAAAGCACTTTGAATCGCCACGTGCTGAAAAGTGCTATATAAATAAAATTGCCTTGCCTTGCCGCTTTGGCAATATTTTTGCAAGGGCTGATTCAGTGAGAACAGCACCATCTACAGGCCTGGCATATGTACTACAGCGTCTCCAGCGCTTTGGAACGGCAATGGCCGTGGCTGTCTCCTCCTGATTGGTGGAGTTGGCCCAATAGCCGTAGCGCCACCGTCCTGACGTCAGGACAGTGTTCAAATCTGGATCAGTTTTTATCAGATCCGTTTGCAGCCCCTTTTTTAGAGATTGGGTATGGAGGAAAATAGAGAGGGTTGTGTTTTCTGACACTTGGTGAGTTCCCTGGAACACCGGGGACACATATTCATGTAGAAAAGACGTACACAAGTGCATTTTGCATGATAGGTCCCCTTTAAATCTAGTTTGGATTCTGGTCTGCACTCTGGTCTGGCTTCAGGTCCGCCTGAGTCTCACCTGGTCGTTTCCGATCTTGGCTCGGGGCCAGGAGACGTCCAGCAGCGCCTGCAGAGCTCTCAGACAGGAAGTGATGTTCTCCATCTGGTCAGCAGAGTGCGGAGAACACAGGAACTCCACACTGATCCCTGAAACACAGGAGAGATACAACCACACTCAGTTCAGAAAGAAACTTAATTTAATGAAACACATGCACTTTAAAGGTCCCCATTATACTGTTTCTCATCAATATATCACAGGTCTCAGATATATACAGAGCCTGTCTCTGATTGGCTGAAACACCAAACAGATCATTGCAGCATAACCCATAATCCCCTCTGTTTCAGCCCTGTTTCCAAAGTGCTGATTCTCTGTCTGTTACTTTAGATGAAAATAAGGAGCCCCTCCCCACGCCCCTCTGAGAGAGATTTGGTTACAAAGAACTCAATGGTGCTCTAGGAGGAGATTCAGGTGATAAGGTGGGGGGGGGGGGGGGGGGGGTTACCTTGGTTGCTGATTGGCTAATGGTTACACAAGACAAAACATCGTTATGACATCATCAAGTGGCCAAAATCTGATCAGCTCATTTTCAGACAGGTTTTTATAGAAATGGATCATCTCTCTAAACAGAGGGGACACATGTTGATGTAGAAGAGACATGAAGAAGAGGGGACATGAAGAAGAGGGGACACATGTTGATGTAGAAGAGACATGGAGAAGAGGGGACACATGTTGATGTAGAAGAGACATGGAGAAGTGGATGTTGCATAATAGGTGACCTTTAAGTCTCCATATATCTGTAATAAAACCAGTCCCCGTACCCAGGATGAGGTGCAGTCTGTCGGTGTGTTGATGTCCTCTGGACTCTTGGCTCTGACCCCTGTTTGTCCCATGGAGGTGGGGGGTGGCAGGACGAGAGAGATAGGGAGGAGCGTCGTCTGGCATCAAGAAACCTGCAACAAAAAGAGGGATCAGGCTGTTTAACACCCGCCTATGTCTTATATATATATCAGGGTATATGCAGGAATCTAGGACTGACCGGTGCTGTGCAGCCAGAGGGAGGTGGCGTGGAGCACTGGAGCCCAGGAGGAGGTGTAATGAGCTCTGGCCTGGTTCACCGTCTCTGCCGTGTAGAAAGAACCTCCTGGAGGAAGGAGAGGAAAACAAACTCAATTTAAAGAGTCCTTATTCTGCTTGTTGTGGTTCTCCCTCTCCTGTAGAGTGTTCTATAGGGTTCTGTGCTCTATAGGGTTCTGTGTTCTATAGGGTTCTGTGTTCTATAGGGTTCTGTGTTATTGGGTTCTGTGTTCTATAGGGTTCTGTGTATAGGTTTCTGTGTTCTATAGGGTTCTGTGTTCTATAGGGTTCTGTGTTCTATTGGGTTCTGTGTTCTATAGGGTTCTGTGTTCTATAGGGTTCTGTGTTCTATAGGGTTTGTGTTATATAGGGTTCTGTGTTCTATAGGGTTCTGTGTTCTATAGGGTTCTGTGTTCTATAGGGTTCTGTGTTCTATAGGGTTCTGTGTTCTATAGGTTCTGTGTTCTATAGGGTTCTGTGTTCTATAGGTTTCTGTGTTCTATAGGGTTCTGTGTTATATAGGGTTCTGTGTTCTATAGGGTTCTGTGTTCTATAGGGTTCTGTGTTCTATAGGGTTCTGTGTTCTATAGGGTTCTGTGTTCTATAGGGTTCTGTGTTCTATAGGTTCTGTGTATAGGGTTCTGTGTTCTATAGGGTTCTGTGTTCTATAGGGTTCTGTGTTCTATAGGGTTCTGTGTTCTATAGGGTTCTGTGTTCTATAGGGTTCTGTGTTCTATAGGGTTCTGTGTTATATTGGGTTCTGTGTTCTATAGGGTTCTGTGTTCTATAGGGTTCTGTGTTCTATAGGGTTTCTGTGTTATATAGGGTTCTGTGTTCTATAGGGTTCTGTGTTCTAGGGTTCTGTGTTCTATAGGGTTCTGTGTTCTATTGGGTTCTGTGTTATAGGGTTCTGTGTTCTATAGGGTTCTGTGTTCTATTGGGTTCTGTGTTCTATAGGGTTCTGTGTTCTATAGGTTTCTGTGTTCTATAGGGTTCTGTGTTCTATAGGGTTCTGTGTTCTATAGGTTCTGTTTCTATAGGGTTCTGTGTTCTATAGGGTTCTGTGTTATATAGGGTTCTGTGTTCTATAGGGTTCTGTGTTCTATAGGGTTCTGTGTTCTATAGGGTTCTGTGTTATATAGGGTTCTGTGTTCTAGGTTTCTGTGTTATATAGGTTTCTGTGTTCTATAGGGTTCTGTGTTATATAGGGTTCTGTGTTCTATAGGTTTCTGTGTTATATAGGTGTTTGTTATAGGTTCTGTGTTCTATAGGGTTCTGTGTTCTATAGGGTTCTGTTTATAGGTTTCTGTGTTCTATAGGGTTCTGTGTTCTATAGGGTTTGTGTTCTATAGGTTTCTGTGTTATATGGGTTCTGTGTTCTATAGGGTTCTGTTTCTATAGGGTTCTGTGTTCTATAGGGTTCTGTGTTCTATAGGGTTCTGTGTTCTATAGGTTTCTGTGTTTAGGGTTCTGTGTTCTATAGGTTCTGTGTTCTATAGGGTTCTGTGTTCTATAGGTTCTGTGTTATATAGGGTTCTGTGTTCTAAGGTTTCTGTGTTCTATAGGTTCTGTGTTATATAGGTTTCTGTGTTATATAGGGTTCTGTGTTATATAGGGTTCTGTGTTCTGTGTTTCTGTGTTATATAGGGTTCTGTGTTATATAGGGTTCTGTGTTATATAGGGTTCTGTGTTCTATAGGTTTTCTGTGTTCTAT